TTAACTTTTTTTTTTTCAAATTAGGGAAAAAAAAAAAAAAAAAAAAAAAAGGTGAGCCTCCTACACAGTCACCTGATTGCAGAAGCTGAAGCTTTAAGGAAAGAAACACTCAATGTCATGAGAGTCCAACATGGGAGCTATCAAGAGTGCCCTGAGCTCCTCTCAACACGAACCCTGAGGCTGCACCTTCTAGCTCCAAAGCCCCTCAAGGCCCTGCTGTGCCCAGAGGGTCAGCCTCAGGCCAGTCTTGTTTTGTGTCTGGAAACATAAAAATTTGAACAAGCTCAAAACCAAAGTCCTGGCATCCAAAAATCTCCCGAGTTTCCCAGACTAAGTTTACGTTCATTCATACAAGGCCAAATGCTTCTCCACAAGAAAGTGCAGGGACTAATAAAGCATCCTTCCAAAACAGGTTGTTCAACAAAGCCCACCATGCCAAAATAAAGCCATGATACATGTTGTGGTGCGGATGGCCAGAGCACAACAACTTGCCCATGCCAGAAAGCTTCACTCATTGCTCTGCTCCTAATCATGTGCAAATCAGTGAAACACCCAGGGCCCAGTTCACTGCAACCTATAGCAAAGCATTTGGAGTGACCAGACCTTCCCATCGTTTGTAAGAAAAAGAAACAAACACCATTCCCAGGAGCCACATGCTCTATTCAGCATTTCTCCCAATCCTGCCTGAGATTCTTGGGGGCTTTGAAAGATTAAAAGAGAAAAAAAAAAAAGAGGCTAACTCCACCCTGAGAGTAAGAAAGGAAAAGCAGAGGCAGGGAGCTTTAGCAGGGAAGTACAGATAACAGAACCGAAATGGGCTCAGCTATCTCTCTTGTATGCAGATATCCAAAGGGGTCAACTTTGAGGCTGCTATTTGCTTTAGTAGAATTGGTTCAGTATTTGGAGGCGCTGTGAATATTTCCCCTAGTAGTAAATCTGCATGGTTGCCCCCTACTTAAGGCAAACCCAAATGACAGGATGTTAACAACGCTCAGACAGGGACTGCGTTCACAGCTAACTTTGGCTGCCCCAGTTTTCTGTGTCTGAAGGCTGCACCCCCCTGATGGAGGGCTGATGCAGAACGGATCAGTGGAAGCCGCACCAGGACACGATGCCAATTGACAAGATGTCTTTCTGCTTCCTCCGTCAAGGAACTCAGTTCGAGCAAACTGGTGAGAGTGGGCAGGAGTCTTCTCGCTGGGACACATTCTTCTTTCACCTAATGCTCCCGGCATGCATCTAGACAGCAGGAGTGAAAAAGGGTTAGGGTTAGGGTGCGAGAGGCGCATGTTGCTGCGGTTATGGAGATCAAACACACAGTGAGCTGCTGGCAACACAGTCCCTGCCCTGAGCCACCCAGTTTTCATAGGATTTGTAGGTGTTAGGGGCTGGAACAGACCTTACAAGACCATCAGGACCAGTCCCCCTACACTTGAGCAGGAAAGACTGCTGGGGCAGATGACCCCAGCAGGGTGGGCATTAAGAGGCTCTTCCTTTGATGCCAGGTCCATCTCCACAAGCAGTGCTGCCATGATGCCCTGGCTGCCCACCCCTCTCTTCTGCCCTCAAATAAATGATCTACCTTCCCAAGCTGCTTCAAAAGTACCAGGAGGGAAAGAGCTATTTTCCTGCTGTGGTCTCAAGTTGCAGCAAGGGAGGTGTAGGCTGGATGTTAGGAAAAACTCTCACTAGGAGCATGGTGAAACACTGGAAGTTATCCACTGGGCATCTCCATCCTCAGAGGTGTTTAAGACCTGGCTAGACAAAGCCTTGGGTGGGATGATGTAGCTGGGACTGGGACTGGGACTGGGACTGGTCCTGCTTGGAGCAGGGGGTTGGACTAGATGTGACCTCCCAAGGTCCCTTCCAACCCTCATTGTCTGCAATTCTAATATTGACCCTAGGGGTCAGACTGGGCCAAGTGCTCTTCCGTTTCCCAGAGCTGAGCAGCCTGCAAAGACAGAACACTGCTTTTGATTCCTACTATTGCCACATCTTCATCACAAGACTCAATATTTGGGGTTTTCATGTGCTTTCCTTGACTTTTGCATTGAGAAGTTTCTCTTATGTCAAAGAACCGCTCTTCAGTAAAGCAAAACCCAGACAAGATGGTCATTTCCTTATAAGTCTTCGCATGAAGCCAGGCTGCCAAAAGCAGAATAGCACCATGCCACTTGTTTTGTGGCATTCATAGTTAGCAGCACAACAAAAGGATTCTTAATGAATTGTAGGATCTACTCTCTCATGTTTGTATTTAGTGGGTCCCTTTCGTTCAGGAGATATCTGTTTGCTGGGCTGTCAGTAAAGCAAATGTTTGAAAGATCTGGCTGCTGTACCATGGGTAGCTAAAAGACACCCAAAACTCCAAACAAATTAAAAGGAACCCATTAAAAGACATTTTCCCTGCAGGTCTGCACACACCAGGCAGACTCGACTAAGCAAATAATCTGAAGTGCTTTCTTGGGAAAACGCGGCTATTAAAATGTCTTTACAAGATTCAACTACAGCCAATAAAATAGAGCATGGGCAGGGCTAGCAATGAGATATCATTTTGATTTAAGTGGCTGAAAGCTGCAAGTGTTTTACTTTCCAAAAGACATTTGAAAAAAAAAAAAAAGTGTCTAAGCCCTTCCTCTTCAATGAAGGCACTCTTAAAAACAAATGTTAGCCAAGCGCTGATCTGGCCAGCGAGAGGCCTCAAGGAACACTGTGACGATGCACAAGTGATTTCAGTGATTTGGTCAGTAGTGCTACATTGGCATGGACCCATTGAGGCTGCTTTCAAATGCCCCTTCCAACCAAGTAGGAAGAGAGAAGCTTTTAGATATGCTTGTCAAGCTCTAGAGGGTATCAATGCAGTCTTAGAAATTCACTTTCTGCATACAGCAAAAAAACACAGGCCATCACCTACAACGTTCAGAGACTAACCACAAGAACCACCTTGTGCAAAGGTAAGCCCTACTACTCAGCCAAATTCCAGCCTGTGACAGAGTACAGAGACCCTTTAAGAGGCGAGAAGGTGCAGCTGGCCCTGCTTGCTGATAAGGTCCAGGTGGAGGGGATCAGGCCCTGGGCAGAGCCCCAGGTGGGACCATTAAAGAAGGGAACCAGCAGGAGGAGAGCAGGGAGGGCAGAAGGAGCTGCAAAGTCCTGACAGCCTGATGGGAAATAGGCACTGGTTTGCTTTACTGCCAGCAGGGAGAACAGCAATATATTGCTTGTTAGCCTGAAGGGAAAAGGCCACATTGACCTCATTCACTCAGGAGGGTTTTAAATAAAGCACCCGTTTTGGAGCCTAAAAAAATAAAAATAAATGAGACTAGGACTCCACTGAGACCAGGAGGCACTCCCAGCTCACAAAGCTCTGCTGGTTATGGTCTGCGTCCCAAGATCAAACCTCCAGTTTCAGCTGGATCCAGTATTTTTCACTTCCTAACCCAAGCCATTTAGTCCCAACAGCTGATACTGGAGTGGTTAGAAGGATCTGTTGATATCCTACTGATTTCTCAGGTGCCACGGAGCTCAATCTCCTTGAGAGATTAGGGTAACAGGTCCCATAGAAAGCAGCACCTCGTCATGGTCTAGCTCAGGGGTGAGCAATTTTTTGGGCCCCTGGGCCACACAGGGATTTTGGCTGAGCATCACAGGCCACATCAGCACTACCACCCTTTGCAACAGCTCACAAAACTCCCCAGGTGGGATGGGGCCATGAGCGAGTGGGGAGCAGTGTTTAGGAGCAGGACGGGTGGGCAATGCTGGGCTTACAGGGCACTGGTTCTGTGGGCAAGGGCATGCGGGGAGCAGATTGCAGCCCTGCCCCAGCTGTGCTGATGTTGCCCCATGATCCCAGGGTCTCTAGGGGGTCTGTGGGCAGGGCATGCAACTGGGAAGAGGCCATGGGTGGGCAGGGCGCCACATCTAGGAGCAGGGTGGGCCAAGCCAGTCCAAGATATTGGGGCAGTTATAGTGCAGGGCTGGGCCAGAGCTATGACCAAGCTCCCCACATACCCCCGCCTGCAGAACCCACACCCACCACAGGGGCACATGGGCAGATCACGGCTCTGCCTCGGGCCCCAATCCCATGCTGTCACCACCCCTGCCTGGGGGCAGCAGGACCCCTCTGTGTAGTAGATACACTAGAGGGCAGGGCTAAGATAAGGAGAGACCTCGACAAATTGAAGGATTGGGCCAAAAGACATCTCATGAGGTTCAGCATAGACAAATGCAGGGCCCTGCACTTAAGACAGAACAATCCACTGCACTGGTGCAGGCTGGGGGCTGACTGGCTGGGCAGCAGCTCTGCAGGAAAGGACCTGGGGGTGACAGTGGACAAGAAGATGGCAACAAGGGCACACCGCTGGCTTTTCTCCAAGGCAGCTAACGGCATCCTGCGCTGCATTGGATGAAGTGTCGCCAGCAGATTGAGGGCAGCAATTCTTCCCCTCTATTCAGCACTGGGGAGGCCACATCTGGAGTCCTGTGTCCAGTTTTGGACCCCTCACTACAGAAAGGATGTGAACACATTGGAGAGACTCCAGCAAAGGGCAGTGAAAATGGTTCAGGGGCTGGGAAACATGATGTATGAGGAAAGGCTGAGGGAACTGGTCTTATTTTAGTCTGAAGAAGAGAAGACTGAGGCTGCTATTAAATCCCCCCTTCACCTCGCTGCAGGGGGGCTGCAAAGAGGATGGAGCTGAACTGTTCTCAGTGGGGGCAAATGACAAGACAAGGAGCAATGGGTTCAAGCTGCAGCAAGGGAAATGGAGGTTGGATACAAGGAACTCTCTCACTAGGAGGGTAGTAAAACACAGACAGGCTACCCAGAGGTGGTGCAGGAGACTTAAGACCCAGCTAGACAAAGCCTTGGCTGGGATGATATAGGTGGGAATGGTCCTGCTTTAAGCAGAGGGCTGGACTAGATGCAACTTCCTGAGGTCCCTTCCAACCCTTATTTTCTAGGATGCCATGATCCACTATGGGCCACAAAAATCCCTTGACAGGCCAGATCCAGCCCAAGGCCATATTTTGCCTACCCCGGTCTAGGTCCTACAATGGAGCCTACAATTCAAATTAAATGGCAAAAGTGACCGTGTGTTTTAGAACTACCTAGCAGAGGATATTCGTGTACCATGAGTCTCTTCCATAGTTTCTGGGGTTGGAAGGGATCCGAGTAGATAATCTAGTCCAACCCCCTGCCATGGCAGGAAAGATTACTG